ATAAATCAGTGGTTGAACATAATAGTGTTAATCTGGTTTTGATAAACTATTGAAGGAAAAAAAATAATTGTACACCGCTGGACTGAATAGATTTATTGGTTAGAATTTTGACTTAATACGAGGGATATTAAAAGAGTATAGTATGTGCCAATTAGGTACTAGCTGACGTCCTACACATAAAGCGATTTCGCCTTAGTTTGGTATATTATTTCCAAACTTAATTGGAATAAGGTTCCAACTGGTGGCTGACTGGTCATTGAAAATTTCCATAAGAAACATACTGCCACCAGTTATAATTCATGTTGACCTCATTCCAATTGACTTTGGAAAAACTATACCCCAGTTTGGTCTGGTAAACAAGTACCAATCAACTTCTGATGGGAGAATGATGCCGTCACGGCAACTTTAGTAGACGCTTTGGTCTGTCAGATGCTATACCACAGTTTGACTGGGTAGTGGAGGTTTGGTAGCTTTCTGTCTCTTTTTGTCTCATGTCCAAATAAATATGTCAAAGTCAAAATGTACCAAGGAGATTGTTGATATACGTCACTCATGTACCAATTGGTTAACCATTCACTACCAAACAGTCGATGGGGCGAAATTGCCTATAATCTCAATGACATGTTTGTTCCCCTATCGAAAGTGACGTTATGTCATTGGTGTCAAGCTAGCGCCTGTCTATATAATAGTCGTTTAAAAGCTTTGTTACAACAAATATTTATTAAACATTGTACATCCATGTTCAGATAATGTCATCTGCAACAATAATAAATTGTTTGACTCAACTATTCTCAATGTTTGGCACACCATGTTTTATATTCACAGCGATAGAGGAGCATTTTTTCTATCTGTTAATGTGAAATAATTTTTAACAAGTCATGGTGTTGCCACAAGTCGTTCATTTGGGTACAACCCAGAGGAAAATGGACAATTTGAAAGACTATGCAATTTGGGAATAAATTTAGAAACCACGACGTAAAACAATGGCAAAATGTATTATTAGATTCTCTACATTCAATAAGATCTCTTTTGTGTACTGCAACTAATTCAACACCTCATGAACGCATGTTGAACCTTCCTAGAAGATCGACTAATGAAACCTCAATGCCTACATGGTTGAGTACCCCAGGACCAGTTAGACATAGCAAATATGATCCATTAGTAGAAGGAGTTAATCTTCTGGAAGCAAATTAAGATTATGCACATGTACGCCTATCAAATGGAAGAGAAATAACTGTATCAACTCGTCATTAAGGAGAGATGTGACACTGCCAGTTCTGACATATTAAGATCAAAATTCAAGATTTTAATGAGTCAACTATACCTAAAGAACACCTTACATCAGTCAGTTCAGAACGTTTATCATCTTCGTTCCCTATAAATGATTCTAATCGTTCTTTTCCCCAAAATTCTGAAGAATCTCACAATGAAAATCCTCCAGCTTTATCTACACAGTGAAACCTACTGATGAATTCGGTCGTATTATGGTAAAGAGAAATCTTAAATCACTTTCATATCTTCAAGATTATTTCAGAAACTGAGCGAGGAAGAATGTTGTAATATATCTCATTACCTATATATTTACTGTGTTTCCTGTTTCCTATTTATTTATATCTGTTATGTTGTGCAGAAGAGAATTGAATTTTAGCTTATTAAAGCCCTAATACTGAAGGTATTTTTTTTGGAAACTTTATTAAGAAAAAAAACTCATTTTTGGCTCTTGGCATGTTTTCAAATCTTGACATGCTCATGACTAATTGCTCATTTCTTTGATGAAATTTGGGCAAATTGCATATAATTATACATCATTGGAAAGGGTATTAAATTCTCTATGAAGCGTTAGTTCTCATAACTTTTGTAGTTCACAAGATATTGACCTTCAAAGTTGAAATTAAATCGCCATTTTGTCCAATCGACTTTCTCAAATACCATAAATACTAGCGATTTCAGATAAATACCATCTTGAGGCCCTTGTAAAGAGCTACAGTTCCTGAATTTTTTTTTTCTCGGTACCGTTTTTGGTTACCAAGATATCAAACTTTGAAAATAAAAATCCAAAAGGGATACCCTTTGAAAAATGCAAAAAATTGAAAATTTTATTTTTGAGCTTTTCCTAATTTCAACTTCAGAAATGAATAGAGCGGATCCAAATTAGTCAGTAACAACTTTTAAATCAGTTAAATTTGAGAATTTCAATTAGCAAAAAAATCCAAAAGGAAATCTCATTTTTAGTTCTGGAAATTTTTTGAAATATTGACATGCACGCTCATGATTAATGGTCCATATATTCAATAACATTTAAGCAAATTACCTACAATAAATGCTCTTCAAAACTGTGCCAGATTGATTTCAGTACCTTAACGGGTTCACGAGAAATCGACCTTCAAATTTAGATTTTAGTCAAAATTTTGTCCAAAACTTTTATCTCGATTTTTTCAAAAACTATAAATGCTAGCGACTTCAACTAAATGCCATCTAAAAGCCCTTATCAAGAGCTACAAACTCTGGTTTGGTTACCAAGATATCGAGCTTTGAAGATTTGAAAAAAAAAATCCAAAGGGGTACGTATCCCTTAGAAAAAAGTGCAAAAAATTGAAAATTTTTATTTTCAAATTTTTCTCAATTTTAAATTCAGAAATCGATAGAGTGAGTCCAAATTAGTCAGAAATGTTTCTTAGATCAGTTAGATTTGAGAATTATAATGAGAGAAAAAATCCTAAAGGAAATCTCAATTTTTGTCTCTGAAATTTTTTGAAATCTTGACACGTTCATGAATAATTGCCCATATCTACATTAGAATTTTAGCAAATCAGCTACAATTATATATCATTTGATAGAGCATTAAATTCTCTTCAAAACTGTACCATTTTGGTTCTAGTACCTCAACGGGTTCATAAGTATACGCACTCCAAATTTGAACTTTAGTCCAAATTTTGTCCAAAACTTCAAAGTCGATTTTCTCAAAATCTATAAAAGCCAGCGATTTCAGCTAAATACCATCTGAAAACCCTTATAAGGAGCTACAAACCCTGCAAATTTTGTCTTGGTACCGTTTTTGGTTCCCAAGATATCGAGCTTTGAAGATTAGAAAATAAAAATCTAAAGGGGTACCCCTTAGAAAAAAGTTCAAAAAATTATTTTTGAATTTTTCTCAATTTTGAATTCAGAAATCGATAGAACGAATTCAAATTAGTCAGAAACGACTCTTAGATCAGTTAGATTTGAGAATTATAATGAGAGAGAAAATCCTAAAGGAAATCTGAATTTTTGGCTCTGGAAATTTTTCGAAATCTTGACACCCTCAGGAATAATTGTCCATTAATTCAGAATAATTCGAGCAAATTAGCTACAACTATATATCATTGGAAAGAGCATTAAATTCTCTTCAAAACTGTACTATTTTGGTTCCAGTACCTCAACGGGTTCATGAGTAATCGCACTCCAAAATGGAACTTTAGTCAAAATTTTGTCCAAAACTTCAAAGCCGATTTTCTCAAAAACTATGAATGGTAGCGATTTCAGCTAAATACCATCTGAAAGCCCTCATCAAGAGCTACAAAACCTGAAATTTTTTACCGCTTTTGGTTACCAACATATCGAGCTTTGAAAATTTGAAAATAAAAATCCAAAAAGTACCCTTAGAAAAAAGTGCAAAAAATTGAAAATTTTTATTTTTGAATTTTTCTCAATTTTGACTTTTTTAATCAACAGAGCGGGTCCAAATTAGTCAGAAACAATTCTAGCATTAATTAAATTTGAAAATTTCAATGACAAAAAAAATTTAAAATTTTTTGATTTTGGACATTTTTTTACTTGCTCATCAATAATTGCTGATAACTTCAATAAAATTTGAGAAAATTGCCTATAATTATACATCATTGGAAAAAGGATTAAATTCTTTTTAAACCTGTGCAAAATTGGTTTTTGTAAGTTTTGAAGTTTCCGAGATATCGAGCTTCAAAGTTGCAAGTTTCCAAACTTTTCAGAATCTTATTTTTCATGAATTCACGACAAACGAGTCTTGATTTTACATCTTAAAACGTCTTTAGCTAAGTCAGAATCTTGTGGAAAACCTAAACAAAACCCAAACCCAAACAATTTACAATATTTGATCTCAAATCGAGTTTACATTTTTCACACAAGGGTGTAAATCCAATAAAAAAAAATCGTCCTTTGTTTCCCGACACCAAAATACGAGGCCTTTCGAGGTGGGAAAACAAATTTGCGTCATAATATTATTTTTCTTTTCGAGAGGCTGAAACGAGGACAGGTGGCGAACGATAAAATCGAATTTTCTTTCTATATGTATAGGGAGCGAAATTGAAGGGAAGCATCTATAATTTGATTGACCCAAGAGTAATTTGTCTCTTTTTTTAATCGCGTTAATTGAAGAAAGATGAAAAATTTGTGATCGGGTTAATAATCAGAACGGCCACCTTTTGGTTTAATTAATGCCCCTGCTGCTTTTCTTTTAATAGAAATAAAACAACAAAATTTGAAAACATATTCTCTTGTTAGCGCACTTCTATATATATTTTTATTATTTTTGGATCGTGTTATAAAGCTTAAACGGTAATTTCATCCCAAATTACCTCTGGGTAATTGGGTGAGGCTCAACACTCGATACCGGTCATCAATTCGAGGAGCTTTTGTGTACACAAAAGACTGTTTTTTTTTTGCTGAAGCAACGTGGGAAACGACGTTACTGTTTTGTCGTCTTTTAATGAGTTTTTAAATGGGGTTTGTACGTAAAGCGCGAGCGGACACGCCAACATTTAACAATATTTTTTCAAGATTGTCTATTCTTGAAACCAAAGACCAATTGTTTTGTCTTTGTCTTGTATTATAGTAGCAACGAAGAGAGAACATGGTTTCGAGAATAGGAACCTTACAAATAAATAAGGCAGAGTGAGCTTAAAAAAGTTGCAATAAATTGATAGTTTATCTCAATCTTTTTGAGATGACTAATGGTACTTTTGGTGCTTAAATATAGTACTTACCCCTAGAAATTTTAAAGAATTTCTTGTAGTAAAACTGAAAAATAAAATAACAAAATTATTGAATGAGCAATTTTTGATTAATTTGAAGAATTTCCTAAAGGCAATCAATTGCAAATTTTCATTATTACCGGCTCTTGAATCACTAGCAATATATAGTTTTTCTAAAGTCAATTAGAACAAGGTGAACATGCATTTCTTATGGAAATTTTCAGTGATACCTTGTTCCAATTGAGTTTAGAAATACTATACTCATCAACATTATTATGCACGTAAAATTGCCAACCAGTTTCGGTAAACCAACGAAAAAATACACTTAAAAACCGAACCTTATTATCAAAGTCTTTATTATAGACCAACCCACCTAGGTGTGCATATATTTTTCGTCTCTTCAAATATTCAAAGACAAAAGGCAGAAATTACAAAAGCGGCGCACTTGAAACGAAAATCGAAAAAAAAAAAAAAACCCGACAAAGAATAAAGAAAAAGTCGAAAACTCTGGGGCCTCGTCGGCTCTCTCGTTTCGGGAAGCAAATATTTATTCAAAGCGGCTCATTTCTATACTTTCAACTCCAATTCTCTCTGTGTTGTTTTAAGAATGTATAAAATATTAAATTTAATTAAATAGGACATCCAACTCAACTGTTAGTTTTTTTTTTTTTTAAAAAAAACAACCCAAATTTCGATACAACACAAGGCATGCAGATAATTATTCTAATTTTAAGATAATCGAACCCAAAATGATGTAGGCCCGAGGGCCTCAAAAACCCATCTCCCAGCTTTCCTCCTAATAACTATAATCAAGACATCCGTCTAATAAAGGACGTTGTTACAGTTAAAACGACTATCGAGATTGAAGTTTTTCAAGCCTCAATAATATGAGTACCACATTGATTGAAGTACCATCGAGCTAAAGCAAACACGGCACAGTGTGAGGTGCAGTACTTTTTAATTAAGACCACACAAGGAATTTTTGCAACATGCAATATTATCATAGTTTTCCATATTGTATGATGGTGCCTTGTACATTATGCATGCGTTTAACTCATCAATATTCCTTCGTATAAATAATGGAGGTGCGTTTAGGTTTCGGTTGCCTAATAGATACCGCGCGGCTGCATTTACATCCCTTAAAATGAAGGGGGTGAAATGCATCAGAGATGCGGAATTGCAAACCAAATTCAATAAATGTTATCATATTTTTGAAGAATTATTAGTATTGATCAATATTTGGATTATTCTTGGCTCTTGATTCTTCAAATCAATAAAAATCTCAAATTTTTGAGAAAAAACCTTAATGCTCATTATTGAATTGAGTTGAATTTCATTAATTTTGTTATTTTATTTTTCAGTTTTACTACAAAATTTCTGAAGTAAGTACTATATTTAAGCTGAAGTACCAGTCATCTCAAAAAGGTTGAAATAGATTTATTAAAGAAAATAATCAAAATATTGATCTATACATGAATACATTGACAAGCCGCTATTTTGGAATTTTTACCTCAAAAACTATCGGGGGCGCAGAAATGAAATTTTGAGGCTCTATTCTTGAAGATTTGAAATAGAACATACTAAAAATTCAAGCTGATCAAACCGCTAATAATGAAGTTACAAATTTTCTAAATTAGGCAAATATGATTACATTGACAAGTCTCTATTTTAGAATTTTAAACTCAAAAACTATCGGGAACTCAGAGATGAAACTTTGAGGCTCTATTCTTGAAGGTTTGAGGTAAAACATACTGAAAATTCAAGCTGATCAAACCGCTAATAATAAAGTTACGAATTTTCTAAATTAGGCAAAAATTAATACATTGACAAATCTATATTTTAGAATTTTAAACTCAAAAACTATCGGGTGCTCAGAGATGAAACTCTGAGGCTCTATTCTTGAAGGCTTGAGGTAAAACATACTAAAAATTGAAGGTGATCGAACCACTAATGATAAAGCTATGAATTTTCTAAATTAGGCAAAAATGAATACATTGACAAGCCTCTATGTTGAAATTTTCACCTCAAAAACTGTCGGGGGCTCATAGATAAAACTTTGAGGCTCTATTCTTGAAGGATTGAGGTAAAACATACTGAAAATTCAAGCTGATAAAACCATTAATAATGAAGTTACGAATTTTCTAAATTGGGCAAAAATGAATACATTGACAAGCCTCTATTTTGGAATTTTCACCTCAAAAACTATCCGGGGCGCAGAGATGAAACTTTGAGGCTCCATTCTTGAAGGTTTGAGATAAAACATACTAAAAATTCAAGCTGATCAAACCGCTAATAATAAAGTTAGGAATTTTCTAAATTAGGCAAAAATTAATACATTGACAAGTCTCTATTTTGGAATTTTTACTTCAAAAACTATCGGGGACGCAGAGACGAAATTTTGAGGCTTTATTCTTGAAGGTTTGAGGTAAAACATACTAAAAATTCAAGCTGATCAAACCGCTAATAATGAAGTTACGAATTTTCTAAATTAGGCAAAATTGAATACATTGACAAGTCTCTATTTTAGAATTTTAAACTCAAAAACTATTGGAGGCTCAGAGATGAAACTTTGAGGCTCTATTCTTGAAGGTTTGAGGTAAAACATACTAAAAATTCAAGCTGATTAAACCACTAATAATAAAGTTACGAATTTTCTAAATTAGGCAAAAATGAATACATTGACAAGCCTCTATTTTGGAATTTTTACCTCAAAAACTATCGGGGGCGCAGAGACGAAATTTTGAGGCTCTATTCTTGAAGGTTTGAGGTAAAACATACTAAAAATTCAAGCTGATCAGACAGCTAATAATACAGTTACGTATTTTCTAAATTAGGCAAAAATGAATACATTGACAAGCCTCTATTTTAGAATTTTTATTTCAAAAACTATTAGGTACGCAGAGATGAAATTTTGAGGCTCTATTTTTGAAGGTTTGAGATAAAACATACTAAAAATTCAAGCTGATCAAACCGCTAATAATAAAGTTACGAATTTTCTAAATTAGGCAAAAATTAATACATTGACAAGTCTCTATTTTGGAATTTTTACTTCAAAAACTATCGGGGACGCAGAGACGAAATTTTGAGGCTTTATTCTTGAAGGTTTGAGGTAAAACATACTAAAAATTCAAGCTGATCAAACCGCTAATAATGAAGTTACGAATTTTCTAAATTAGGCAAAATTGAATACATTGACAAGTCTCTATTTTAGAATTTTTTAAACTCAAAAACTATTGGGGGCTCAGAGATGAAACTTTGAGGCTCTATTCTTGAAGGTTTGAGGTAAAACATACTAAAAATTCAAGCTGATTAAACCACTAATAATAAAGTTACGAATTTTCTAAATTAGGCAAAAATGAATACATTGACAAGCCTCTATTTTGGAATTTTTATCTCGAAAATTATCGAAGGCTCAGAGATGAAACTTTGAGGCTTTATTCTTGAAAGTTTGAGGTGAAACATACTAAAAATTCAAGCTGATCAAACCATTAATAATAAAGTTACGAATTTTCCAAATTAGGCAAAAATGAATACACTGACAAGCCTCTATTTTGGAATTTTTGCCTCAAAAACTATCGGGGGCTCAGAGATGAAACTTCGAGGCTCTATTCTTGAAAGTTTGAGGTGAAACATACTAAAAATTCAAGCTGATCAAACCGCTAATAATAAAGTTACGAATTTTCCAAATTAGGCAAAAATGAATACATTGACAAGCCGCTATTTTGGAATTTTTACCTCAAAAACTATCGGGGGTTCAGAAATAAAACTTTGAGGTTCTATTCTTGAAGGTTCGAGGTGAAACATATTAAAAATTCAAGCTGATTAAACCGCTCATAATAAAGTTACGAATTTTCTGAATTAGACAAAAATGAATACATTGACAAGCCTTTATCATGGAATTTTTACCGCTAAAACTATCGGGGGCTCAAAGATGAAACTTTGAGGCTCTATTTCTAAAGGTTTGAGGTAAAATAAACTAAAAATTCAAGCTGATCAAACCGCTAATAATTCAGTACCATTAATTTTACTCGTCTACCAAATTCCACAATTTTCAAGGTTAAGGGGGCAACAGTACCCCATGTACACTGTGTCTCAAATTGCTTATATATTTTACTGGTCAGTTATAGCTCAATATCTAAATTTCTCTCTATTTTTACGTATAGAATAAACAGTGATAGATAACTTGCTGTTAAAATAACAGACAATAATACATTATAGACCTGAATAGCTGGTTCCAAATTTGCTGGCGGTTTATGAACTATTTCGTTATCTTCGAAATTTATTAGTCCATGATTTTCCTAGATCACTATTATAGGTGTTTCCTTTAACTCCATTCTTAAACTGATCTATGAGCTGTTGAAACGTTGCTGGTGCATTTTTGAGTCCGAATGGCATTCTCGTATAATGAAAGCTGTTTTATCGTAATCTGGCTCATAAACACTCTGCAAATTTTCATTGTCTATTATTTGTATCTAGAATTATTCGAGCATCCTGTATAAAATTAATGTCAAACAGTGTTTTTGTTTCGGTTTCAGGAATATTTTTAAAGTAACAAAGGGCTATTAAACGGAGTCAACTGCAACGAATTCAAAAGCCGGTAATAATCATAATTTGAATTTTTAGAGCTTCTGATTCCCCTATAGAATTTAGCCAAAATAAAAACTGTTTATCAATATACCTCTATTATAGTACAAGTTGATCTTTTAATTCCCACGATAGACTTTGATTGATCGCTCCCGGCGGTTATTTCGCCCCCGTCTAAAACGCAACTCCTTTCAAGCAAAAGCAAATTAGTCAAGAATATTTTGACAGCTAAACGTAAAACTTGGCAAAATCTTTGGGAGCCAATTAATGAAGCCAATTTTAGATGCCGGAAATTTTCATCAATAGTGGAATTTTACCTGGACAGTTGTTGTTAAAATAAATTCGAACTGACTATATACCTTTGCTACGACAAAAAATAAATTAGTTTTTTAATTTGATGGACATTGCGGTTGAATTGAGAATTAGGCGGAACGACCCATAAAACGTGAGCCCGAAACTGCTCTGCGCTCTGCAAAATTCAATTTGTTTGGACTGTCAGAGGCCTGTCAGGCAAGGGGCTTTTTTTACATTGCACCTGTATAATGAATCATCATTTATGTGGAATTTAATGTTTTTTGGTTCGAAAAATCTAATCGTGCACCTTAGCTAAGAGAAGAATTACTTATCTAGATGTTGTTGTTGTTGTTGTTGTTTTCTAAATCTCGTATCTTCAATCGAAAAAGTCCTTTTTGCTCTCTCGAGACGAGATTCGAATCTTAAAGGTTCTTCGTGACCCTGGTTGCTGAATCATTTCGTTGAAAGGATCAGGTGCAGCGGTTTTTTGTTGAGAACCCAAAATTGCTCTAATTTGCATTTAAATTTCCAGAAATTATAAGGCCCCGAGGGTATATGGAAGCACCTTAAATGGTTCTTGTGTAAAAACGGTTTTTGGGTGCAAATGAATTATATTTTTCAATATACATGGAATTTTTGGGGTATTAAAAGTTTTAGAAGATTCAAATTGTGATGACAGATGACTCCGTTCAATAGCCCGTAGTTGCTTCTATAATTATTGTTGCAATTCGCTCATTGATAAGTCAAGTACATTACTGTCCCAAATACAAGTGTGTATTCAGACTGATGAGTAACGTACCTTTCAACCCCTAAGTGGGGGTGACAGGTACCCCCAAAATTTCAAATGAAAAGAGGGTCGAGTGATACGTCATTTGATAGCTATTTTCATCAAGATTATATCCCCGAAGTTTAAAGTTGCTACTAGTTACCCTGTCAAAATGGCGGCTTGTCAAAGTTAGGAGATATTCTGTGTAGCTTCGGGAATATAATTTTAATGAAAATAGCTACCTACCAAGTGACATATCACTCGACCCCTCTTTCCATTTTAAATTTTGGGGTTACAGCTGTTACCCTCACTTAGGGGTTGACACATAGGGGTGAAAATACCAGTAAAATCTGTCCCCCAAAAAACAAAAATTGATGTGTCTGAGCGATTTTTTATTAAACACCTAACACCTGAGAAACTCTGGGTGAAAAGTTTTTCGTGCCTCACCCTGTATAAAGTCAGAATTTGTAAGATTATCCACTATTATCCACGTTTTGTCAATTCGCCTTTCAACAGGAATAAGTAATGTTACTTTACCAAATTAGTAACATAATGTGACAAGTTATTCAAGTACAAATGAGTGAATTGTTGCGGAACTTATGGGTGGACCTCTGCGGGACGAGCGCAGCGAGTTCCGCAGCCATCTATTCATCAATACGTTATTTAAGTACGATACTAACCTGACTCACTCAAATGTCAGTTATTCTCACTAGTTGAAAATCTACAAGTTTCAGGTGAGTGTCTTATTTGAATATTTCAAGTACGATACTAACCTGATTCACTCAAATGTGAGTTATTCTCATTAGTTCAAAAAGTACACGTTTCAGGTGCATGTCTTAATTTGACAGTTCAGCAGTATATTGGTGAGTAGATGGCTGCGGAACTCGCTGCGCTCGTCCCGCAGAGGTCCACCCATAAGTTCCGCAATAATCTACTTATTTGTACTTGAAAAATAACTTATTATATAAAATCAACATTTGTAAGATTATGATTATTCACTTTTCGTCAATTTGCCTTTCAACAGGAATTAGTAATGTTACTTTACCAAACTAGTAACATAATGTGACAAGTTATTCAAGTACAAATGAGTGAATTGTTGCGAAACTTCTGGGTGGTCCTCTGCGGGACGAGCGTAGCGAGTTCCGCAGCCATCTATTTTACAATATGTTATTCAAGTACGATACTAACCTGAGTCACTCAAATGTGAGTTATTCTCATTAGTTCAAAAAGTACACGTTTCAGGTGCATGTCTTAATTTGACAGTTCAGCAGTATATTGGTGAGTAGATGGCTGCGGAACTCGCTGCGCTCGTCCCGCAGAGGTCCACCCATAAGTTCCGCAATAATCTACTTATTTGTACTTGAAAAATAACTTATTATATAAAATCGACATTTGTAAGATTATGATTATTCACTTTTTATCAATTTGCCTTTCAACAGGAATTAGTAATGGTACTTTACCAAATTAGTAACATAATGTGACAAGCTATTCAAGTACAAATGAGTGAATTGTTGCGAAACTTCTGGGTGGACCTCTGCGGGACGAGCGTAGCGAGTTCCGCAGCCATCTATTTTCCAATATGTTATTCAAGTACGATACTAACCTGATTCACTCAAATGTGAGTTATTCTCATTAGTTCAAAAAGTACACGTTTCAGAAGAGTGTCTTATTTGAACAGTTCAACAGTATATTGGTGAGTAGATGGCTGCGGAACTCGCTGCGCTCGTCCCGCAGAGGTCCACCCATAAGTTCCGCAATAATCTACTTATTTGTACTTGAAAAATAACTTATTATATAAAATCAACACTTGTAAGATTATGATTATTCACTTTTTGTCAATTTGCCTTTCAACAGGAATTAGTAATGTTACTTTACCAAACTAGTAATATAATGGGACAAGTTATTCAAGTACAATTGAATGAATTGTTGCGGAATTTATGGGTAGACCTCTGCGGGACGAGCGCAGCGAGTTCCGCAGCCATCTACTTACCAATATACTGTTGAACTATTCAAATAAGACACTCACCTGAAACTTGTAGTTTTTGAACTAATGAGAATAACTGACATTAGAGTGAGTCAGGTTAGTATCATACTTGAACAATGTATTATTGAATAGATAGCTGCGGAACTCGCTGCGCTCGTCCCGCAGAGGTCCACCTATAAGTTCCGCAATAATTCACTTATTTGTACAAGGTGTTTTTGTATATATTGACACCCCACCTACAGCCTTTACCTTCACAGGTAGAAGAAAGGTGTAAATACAAAAGTTGCACAGTTTTGGCTGAATTTTTAGAAACTATGATCAGAAACAAAATTTAAATGTGAAATTTTGCATGCTTCCAGCTTTTTTCAAATATATAAAAAAACACCCTGTACAACTGGGCCTAAGAGAGACAGGATGATATAAATCAGTTGAAAGTTTTAGCCAGAAAAATGTTCCAGTTATTTGGTTTATTTAGGGCCGGTTTTTCAATGGCTGGGTTAAGCATAACTCCAGGGTCAATATTGCACCTATTACACTGGAGTTAAAACCAACTCGAAAGTGACTGGCTATTGAAAAACCAACCATTAGAACTACATTGAAACTTCTCTAACTCAAAACTTCAAGGAACAGGAAGTCAAGTTCGAGTTACGGAAAATTCGATTTATGGAAAAATATCCAAGACTTTATATTTTTTATTATGTATAGGTGCTTTCCCGAAAAATTCGAGTTACGCTTAGTTGTCACCACGATTACCACTAAATTTCAGTTCCGAGTTTTAGAAATATTCGAGTAATAGAGATAAAAAATTTGACTTATGGGGAAAAAAATACATAACGAGGTTGTGAAATAGTATATTACATACCGAGGTGGAAAGTGTTTCATTACTGTCGAGAGATTAGTTAGTTAACTGAGACGCGAAGCGTCGAAGTTAACTATAATCTCGAGACAGGAATGAAACTTCCTACCGAGGTTTGTATACTATTTTATTTACAACAATTACAACCCTCATAATTTCGACTAAATACTAAAAAAAAAATTAAAAATTTGTTGACAAGTTCTGACTCATCTAAAAAAACGTTTGACATGCAGGACTCGTCTTAAACATTTTAAAAAATGAGAACTTACTTTCCACCCGGGTGGAAAGTGAGCACTTTCCACCCGGGACCACTTTCCACCCGGGTGGAAAGTAAAATTCAAAAAAGTGTCACTTTCAAACTTTTGAAAAGTCAGAAATGTCAACATTACGTATGTGGTTGTAAATAAACCTATTTGTTTGTGTGTGAAGAAAATTCGATTTAGAGAATATTTCGAGTTCAGGAAGTTCGAATTAGAGAAGTTTCACTGTATATCAGAACAATTCTCAATAATTCTTACTCTGAAGCTAGAAACTGTTTTGGAATTTTGTGATTTTCGGTTCGTTTTGGTTCCGAATTGGTTCTCTAGTATTATGGAACAATCTCCCATTATTCAAATTCAAGAGCCGAGAATAATCAAAATTTTGAATTTTTCAATGAATCAAATTCAAGAAAATTGCCTTGAATGCGATTGAGTATTCGGACTAATGAGTAAAACTCGTGCATTTTAATAATGAGTAGAAAGAGCCAGTAATAATCAAAAGTTGTTCTTCACGAATTATTGATACATTTGCTTCTAGTATTGGCATACGAAGCAATTTTTTCTTTAGAAGTTAGTGTTAGATGGATTTAATGTAAGAGTCATACTTATTTGATTGATTTGCTGTTTAAATTTTACCAAAACCATTAAAAATGAAAAGGACTTACCTATATTAGTAATTACTGAATGTAGGCCTCCTTCATTTTATTTTTATTTGATTCTAATTGGCTCCCACTCCACGTACTGAAAATAATGAAACATATAGGTTTTCAAAATAAAAAGGCTCAAAACCAACCTCAAAAATTCATTAACTACTTCTTAATAAGTGGAATTTTTGTGTTAAATTGTCAAAAACCTAATGGCGAAATAGTTATAAACAATCAAAATAGTGCTTCGTCAAAAAATAATCGATATTCTATTGCTCAAGGTTTATAATTCCATATTAATCAGTTGTTCATGTAAACATAAAATGAATCATAAATATACAAATTATTTCTATAAGTGGAGGGTTTATTTTATATAAACTGCTCTGCATGCATTTTGCTAATGTAAGGGAAAAATTTTGGAGATTTACGAGTCAAGGTTTTACACTAAATATTTTTTTGAAGGCATCCTTATTATTATATAAATAATTGTAAATCATTCTCTCACATGTCATCACTGATATAAGCAAGCAAAGGTAAAGGTAAAATTTATCACCTTTCAGTGCTATTTGATAAGGAAAGATGATAAATTTACCTTTACCTTGAGACTATGGATTGTGAATAGGATTATATTCATGAACGTGGTCAAGATTTGACAAGATTTTCAGAGCCAAAAATGAGATTTCCTTTTGAATTTTTTTTTCTCACTGAAATTTCCAAATGTTACTGATCTTAGAGTTGTTTGTTACTAATTTGGACTCGCTCTATTGATTTATGAAGTGAAAATTAGGAAAAATCCATCAATTTTTTGCATTTTTTTCTAAGGGATTTTTATTTCCAAATCTTCAAACCTCGATATCTTGGTAACCAAAAGCGGTATGGGAACAAATTTTTTATAAAATGCAGCTCTTGATAGGGGCTTTTAGATGGTATTTAGCTGAATTCGCTAGCATTTGTAGTTTTTGAGAAAATTGAGTTTGAAGTTTTGCACAAAATATCGACTAAATATCAACTTTGAGGCTTAATATCTCGGAAATTTCGAAAGCTACAAAAACCAATTTTGCATGGGCTTAATTATTATATAGAACCCGAAGTTTTTTTGCTATTCTGACAAACCAACATGTAAACGTAAAGCCAGTAGTCCCCTAATAATTAAAAAAAAAAAATCTGTAACAGTTAATAATTAATCAATTCTATTTTTTCTTTGACTATTAAGAGCACCTAAAAAGCACCTAATTCTGGTACAGAAGAAAATTTGGAAAAATATTTTTCACTATAGGAGACTACTAGCTTTCATAAACCTAGCAATCCCTTAGTTTTTTTCGATTTTCTCAAATACTAAAGGAGCACCTAATTTTTAATTAGAGGTCCTAATTAGCACCTAAAAAGCACCTAATTATTATATAGATCCCGAAGTTTTTTTTCCATTCTGACACACCAACATGTAAACGTAAAGCCAGTAGTCCCCTAATAATTAAAAAAAAATCTGTAACATATGTAACAATATTTTTCACTATAGGGGACTACTAGCTTTCATAACCCTAGCAATCCTTTAGTTTTTTTCGATTTTCTCAAAAACTAAAGGAGCACCTAATTTTCAATTAGAGGCCCTAATTAGCACTTAATTATTATATAGTTCCTGAAGTTTTTTTTCACCTTGGGACTGCTAGGTTTATAGACCTAGAAAATGTTTATTTAAAAAAAGGGTTTGTAATTCTATTTCTTTTAGCTTTGTTCAAACACAGGTACAATGTACCGTTACGATTCTTCGCAAAGCATGGGAGGTTTGTTCCAACAACACAGCAAAAAAACCAAATCATGAATGGATTATGAATTCAAAAAGGACCAACACAAATTCAAGAGCCGAGAATAATCAAAATATTGAATTATTCAACGAATCAAATCCATTCAGGGAGCAGTTTACTCATTAACAATATTAAAAGAATTCCATAAATATTTAAGAGAAACAGGATGATTGTAGGATAATATAAATCAGTCGACCAGAAAGTATCTTTTGGACAAATTGTCTAATGATTCAACAGCCAGTAATAATCAAAGTTCGAACTATTACCGGCTCTTGATTATCTAAAGAAATTATAACCCATATATGGACATGAATATGTAAGAACAATTTTGGGATTATTCTACACCAAAAATATATTGTTTGTCTATATTTGATTGAACAGTCTCTCATATATTCGGCTCCAAAAATTGTAAAAATACTATTCTACTACTGATTTTGTGAACCATTCTATCTGTACAAGTGAAAACTGCAGGTAAAATTTGAGGTACTTGGTTTCACTAATAGTATTTTTAAAATTTTTAGAACCAAATATGTTAGAGACGGCTCAACCTTATATAGACAAACTATATAGTTTTGGAATCCGGAAATTATGTTCTTCAAAAATATAGAACCAAATATAGGGCATCCCATTTGAAAGAAGTTGAAAGCATACAACATTTCACATTTCTGACATTTAATTTTTGTTTTTGACCGTGGATTCTGAAAATTTAGCCAATACTGTATAAATTTTGTATTTACACCTTTTAAAGGTGAAGGCTGTAGGTGGGGTGTCAATGTACTTGAATAATAATTTTCTTTTAACAGGAATTAGTAATGTTACTTTACCAAACTAGTAACATAATCTGAGAAGTTATTGAAGTACAAATGAGTGAATTGTTGCGGAACTTATGGGTGGACCTCTGCGGGACGAGCGCAGCGAGTTCCGCAGCCATCTATTTATCAATATGTTGTTTAATTAGGAAACTAACCTGACTCTCTCAAATGTGAGTTATTGTCATTAGTTCAAAAACTACACATTTTAGGTAAATGTTGAGTTGAACTTGAACAGTTCAATAGTATATTGGTGAGTAAATGGCTGCGGAACTCGCTGCGCTCGTCCCGCAGAGGTCCACCCATAAGTTCCGCAACAATCCACTTATTTGTACTTGAACAATAACTTATTATATAAAGTCAAAATTTGTAAGATTATTCACTTTTTGTCAATTTGCCTTTTAACAGGAATTAGTAACGTTACTTTACCAAACTAGTAACATAATCTGAGAAGTTATTGAAGTACAAATGAGTGAATTGTTGCGGAACTTATGGGTGGACCTCTGCGGGACGAGCGCAGCGAGTTCCGCAGCCATCTATTTATCAATATGTTGTTTAATTAGGAAACTAACCTGACTCTCTCAAATGTGAGTTATTGTCATTAATTCAAAAACTACACGTTTTAAGTAAATGTTGAGTTGAACTTGAACAGTTTAATAGTATATTGGTGAGTGGATGGCTGCACAGTTCAATAGTATATTGGTGAGGAGATGGCTGCGGAACTCGCTGCGCTCGTCCCGCAGAGGTCCACCCATAAGTTCCGCAACAATCCACTTATTTGTACTTGAACAATAACTTATTATATAAAGTCAAAATTTGTAAGATTATTCACTTTTTGTCAATTTGCCTTTTAACAGGAATTAGTAATGTTACTTTACCAAACTAGTAATATATTGTGATAAGGTATTCAAGTACAAACGAGTGGATTGTTGCGGAACCTATGGATGGACCCAACCATCAATTCACCAATATGCTGTTCAAGTACAATACTAACCTGATTCACTCAGTTGTGAATTTTTCTCATTAGTTCAAAAACTACACGCTTCAGGTGAGTGTCTTATTTGAACAGTTCAACAGTATATTGGTAAGTAGATGGCTGCGAAACTCGCTGCGCTCGTCTCGCAGAGGTCCACCCATAAGTTCCGCAATAATCCATTTGTTTGTAATAATCAATTAATGATTTTGAAAAACATTTGACATTTTTTTAAATTAACTCAATCTATTTTGAACTAAAAGTGGAAATGGTGTAGAACAGTGTTCTCAATTCTTACTCTGAAGCAGGAACTGTTATGGACTTTTGTGGCTTCTTTTAGTTCCGAATCGGTTCAGAACTAGTATTAGAACAGTCCTCCTTTACGTTTTGTTCGCAAGCAATTCTAGAACCGTTCCAAATCTGGAACCAAAACAAAGCTACATTGACATTCATATCAATGAACCAAAACTTAATAAACCAAACCTGGATTTACATTGCAGCTATGGATGACTCGATGTGTTTATAATGGTTTGTTTATTGAAGATAAATAAATGCAGAAAATGTTTATTCAAAAAAAGGGTTTGTAATTCTGTTTCTTTTAGCTTTGTTCAAACACAGGTACAATCAGTCGTATTATGAATATAGTGTCGCAAATGCTTTTACTCTACCTTTTTTCTTTTTGCGGAATATATTTATCTCAAAAAACATTTGCTTCTGTTTTATCCATATACCCATATCCATGATTATTCGCAAAGCATGGGAGGTTTGTTCAAAAAATACGTCAAAAAAACTGTCCGATGAAAGGATTATAAATTGCAAAAGTACCGGACCAATACAATAATCGCTTATGTTTTCCTGGATCCTGATTCGAATTCAAGAGCCGAGAATAAACAAAATTTTGAATTTTTCGACGAATCAAATCCAAGACATTGTGACATTGATATAATACAATTGAAGAACAACAAAATGACTAACTGAGTTGTCCAAATGAATGGACAACTTGGCCAAAAAATATATCTGTCTCTTTTCAATGTCTATGAATTGGACAGTACATTGTACCTACGGTTTCTTTACGTGCTGGAACAGTTCCTAAAAATGTGTACAGTTTGGCTACTGGAAGAAAAGCGTTTCGGTCTGAGGTCAAAACGATATGGAAATACGCAGTTGCGATTGAATAAAGCGTGATAGACATATATGCTCGCTCGTCGGACTATACATCGAATAGAATCCGAAATTCGTATACAGAGTGATTCCGAATAACTGCAACAGACCTTTTAATTCGTATAGTTAGTTTAATAAGTTGACTCGCTCTTTTTCCACGTTGCGTTGGATATAAAGTCTGTTTCCTTAGATATCACAAACTAGTCAGAGCGAATTTCATTGGTTGAAAATAGTCAGAAAACTGGTTGTTGGCCATTTGGACCAATCAAAAACGCTCTGACAATTGCCTTGTAAAGCTCAAATTTTTACTGTTAGCGGCTCTTGATTTGCCGAAAAACGGAATCAGATTGCCTGATAACTTTATGACGTCATCTGGGGTAACCGAACATAATGCAAATTTCCATTAGGCACCCCAAATGACGATATCTATTTCTCATTATTAGACAACCTATTAACTTCAGGAACCTTGAATCAAGAACTATTGAAGTTCTTGTGT